CCGCGAGACTTTGCCCTGAGCGCAAAAATGGAGGCTCTAGACCCTTCCAGAGCTGAGATATCGAAACTCAAAATTTTGACCCGAAAAAAAAACGACAGTGTTACCCCTTACGTTTTTTTTGCGTTTTCGGGCGAAAAATCAAGTTTCTCCAATCTTCTCAAAACTCTGGATTATGATAGAGGGCCGCGAGACTTTGCCCTGAGCGCAAAAATGGAGGCTCTAGACCCTTCCAGAGCTGAGATATCGAAACTCAAAATTTCGACCCGAAAAAAAAAACGACAGTGTTACCCCTTACGTTTTTTTGCGTTTTCGGGCGAAAAATCAAGTTTCTCCAATCTTCTCAAAACTCTGGATTATGATAGAGGGCCGCGAGACTTTGGCCTGAGCGCAAAAATGGAGGCTCTAGACCCTTCCAGAGCTGAGATATCGAAATCAAAATTTCGACCCGAAAAAAAAACGAAAGGGGTAACACTGTCGGGTTTTTTTTCGGGCGAAAAATGAAGTTTCTCCAATCTTCTCAAAACTCTGGATTCTGATAGAGGGGCATGAGACTTTGACCTGAGTGCAAAAATGGAGGCTCTAGACCCTTCCAGAGCTGAGATATGTTAAAGGATGTATAGGCCAAACCAGGTGTTATCAGAATCCCGATATTCACACGGCTCCATCACAACATGTCTTCATATTAGGGACTGAAGTGAGTGTTGGCAGTCAGGTGCTGGAGGAGTGGAGCAACGGATGTGAAGAGGACACAATCAGCGCCAACACGCACTCATCCACATAAACAATGCTGGGCTTATTACACACAGCACTGATCTGGCACTGCCCTACTGTGTACTTGACCAGACAGCAGGTGCACACGCACACACACACACACACACACACCACACACACACAACTTGTTTTGTGGTATAGAAGGTCGCACCGGTGTGGTGGTGGTAATAGGGACACACCTTTCCCAATGCCCTACAGTGATGATACAACTATCAAAAATTTTGTTTTGATCTGCAGATCACAAATCTGACTTTAAATGTTCTATACACACAACAGAACAGAAAATATAGAAAATGGTGGTATACAAGGACATTCCCGCCCCCTCCTAAAATGTTCCCGCCTATGACATAATTGTGATTTATGGGGCCCGACCTGATTATGAGGACACTCATTTTACAATACACAAAATATGTCATTTGGGTGGATTACAGGGACCTATGTGTTTTACTGGTACATGCCCACACACACACACACAAACCTGACGAGATGGTGTATTACCAAGACTAAGGTGATAAGAGTACTGGATCTTAAACACAATAACAACTGCACAATCCAACATTATAAGGACGAGTGTGTTTACTGGTACATGGCCACACACACACACACACCTGATAACATAGTGTATTACCAAGACTAGGGTGATTTAAGAGTACTGGATCTTAAACACAATACACAACTGCACAATCCAACATTATACGGACGAGTGTGTTTACTGGTACATGCCCACACACACACACAAACCTGACGAGATGGTGTATTACCAAGACTAGGGTGATTTAAGAGTACTGGATCTCCAATACAATACACAAAAAAACTTGCAACATTACAGGGACAGAAGTGTTTTACAAGTGCTTTAATTATGACTTCAATAATATCATCATAAACATTGAGTTTTTTTTTTTCAGTTTTACCATGTAATTCCATCATGTCATGCCATTTTAAGTGTAAAGTCACATCCACAAACTTAAAAACATGGTCAATGATTGACAAAACAGCCCTTTGAAGCAGACACATTTTAAAGATGTCATTAAACAGGCTTTGAAATGTATAAAATTAACTCACTCAACATACAATAGATGCTGCTTAGTGCTGCACAGTATTGAAGAAAAAAGCGATATGCGTTAACTCATTAAATAATGCGATATTCGATACAGTAATGTTTAAAGTGTGTAAAACAAACTTAAATTATCTATTATTTAACCTTACATACATGTTTCACATTCTTTTTGTGACAAGAAAACATCAGCTTCTGAAAGTGAACATCAGTGTTTTACTGTACACTGATATTAAAATAATACTTCTTATGCTAAAGCACAGGGTTCAGATTATCCTACATTAGGATTATTTAACAACAGAAACTGAATAATCAAATGTGAAAATAAAAACACTGCTTAGTTTTCACTGTATTATTTACATATATACAGTTATTCAGCAAACAGCAGTGAGTGATTTTTCTTTTGTTCATGACCCAGCTATTGCAAGCCGTCGCGATATGCATATCGCGATATATACATTTGCAAAACAAACCAAATTACAACGGACGGTTTACCTCTGTTATTTCCAGAAAATATAAACAGAATTGTCAAGTCAAGTTTCAAAGCAGATTTACAGGAAAATTATTTAACAAAGTTTGCTTGGGTTGTACATCAGCTCTAGAAGCGTCTAGTGTTAATATAACTATCATTGTAAGTACATGAGCTCCCGTGTGTTTAGAGCTTACTAAAGCATGTATTCTTCTGCGCTGAGAATGAGAGTGAGGTAGAGATTGAAACTCCACGGAAAGGGTCTTCAAGTGGTCTTACACTTCTGCCATTCAGTCAGTGTGGCCAGTTTTCCTTTGGTTATATGTGCCTTAACATGTTTATTGCAGCTGTAACTTCAGCATTTGACCAGCACACTTTTTGTCCTTTCCACAAGGTTTTCAATTTCTTCCTCACTTGTCATTCTCTGTACAGAATACAACATGCTTTGTAAGTACATGAGCTCTCATAGATAAAGCTTATCATCTAACTAGATGGTCATATTCTGATTTAAACCTCGGGTACCTTGAGGCACGTCAGTGGTTTTCTCGATGGGCATCTTCTGAACACCTGGAAGAAACAGTTATATACTGATCAGAAACTCAGATGTAACTCAAACCTGTATCTAGAGCTTAAAACTGGTTTTACATCTGATATCTAAAAAATACATTTCAAATGATATTCAGATGAAATGTTGTGTTAAACAGATGCTTTTAAAGTTTTAGACCAACATGAACATCATCAACGTATTGGTATCGGCCAGAATTACAATGTCGGTGCAACACTGACTCCATTAATGTTCTTCTAGAAAAGGTGCACACTATAGTGCAAATATCTGATTATTGATAACTGATTATTGACTGATTATTACAATTAATGACAAAAGAAATGTTAAGAAATGTAATCTGATATTACCTACTGAAACACTATAGCATTATATATATATACACCACACACACACTGAACAATATAAACGCAACACATTTGTTTTTTGCCCCCATTTCATGAGCTGAACTCAAAGATTTAAGACTTTTTCTATGTACACAAAAGGCCATTTCTCTCAAATATTGTTCACATATCGTTTTAAATCAGTGTTAGTGAGCACTTCTCCTTTGCCGAGATAAATCCATCCACCTCACAGGTGTGGCGTATCAAGATGCTGATTAGACTATGTGTTTATTGCACAGGTGTGCCTCAGGCTGGCCACATTAAAATGTGCAGTTCTACTGTTTGGGGGGTCCAAAAACCTCAGTCAGTCTCTGGTGTGACCACCATTTGCCTCACGCAGTGCAACACATCTCTTTCGCATAGAGTTGATCAGGTTGTTGATTGTGGAGTGTGTAATGTTGGTCCAGTGTTGGTCCACTTGCTGGATATTGGCAGAACCTGGAACACACCGTCTTAAACGCCGATCTCAGAGCATCCCAAACATGCTCAATGGGTCACATATCCGGTGAGTATGCAACATGATATTGTTGCAATACTATATAGTGCAACTATATATGCTGCAACATGACACAACAATGGGCCTCAGGATCTCGTCCACGGTCTCTCTGTGCATTCAAAATGCCATCAATAAAATGCACCTGTGTTCATTGTCAATAACATACGCCTGCCCATTCCATAACCCTCCCGCCACCATGGGCCACTCGATCCACAACGTTGACATCAGCAACCGCTCATCCACACGACGGCATACACGGTGTCTGCCATCTGTCCTGTACAGGTGAAAACCGGGATTCATCCGTGGAGAGAACAGCTCTCTAAAGTGCCAGACGGCATCGAATGTGAGAATTAGCCCACTCAAGTCGGTTACAAGGATGAACTGTAGTCCAGCCGAGACCCCGATGAGGAGGACGAGCATGCGGATGAGCTTCCCTGAGACCTTTCTGACAGCTATGCACACTGGTTGTTGCAGCAGCAGTCCGGTTGGCTGGTCTCAGTCTTGTAGGAGAAGAGGCTGGATGTGGAGGTCCTGGGCTGATGTGGTTACACGTGGTGTGCGGTTGTGAGGCCGGCTGGATGTGCTGGAAAATTCTCTGAAACACCTTTGGAAACGGTAATGGTAGAGAAATTAACAACTCAATTCATGGGCAACAGCTCTGGTGGACATTCCTGCAGTCGGCATGCCAATCGCACGCTCCTCAAAACTTCGACATCTGAGGCATTGTGCTGTGTGATAAAACTGCACATTATAGAGCGG